AGAGGAACCAACCATGTCGCCGAACTGGTTCATCGCCAGGTTGAAGGTCACTTCTCCCCTCTCGAACTTCTCGTTAAACTCTACGACATACTTCAGGTTCTCCTCGAACACCTTCTGGCGATAGAGCTCCTCCTCGGCGTCAACGAACTTGCGGTTGTGTTTAGCCTGTGGAAAGTATACACTTATAACACCAAAATAAGAAATTTAAGTTTTTACTGTGTATGTGTAGGGGGCATACAGCCACCCAACGCACGGTACAGAAAGTATACTTAGGTAACTTTATCTGTGTCGGTACTGTGTATGTGTATGGGGCATACAGTTATACAGCACAGAAAGTTATATTGAGTGGGAATACAAATACATGAAGAGGTAAAGGAATTATCAATGACACTCTAGTGAAGATGCTGGAACTAATTTAAACGTGTTATATTTTTTTTCAGTACGAAATTTTATATAAGAAGTTTGTTTACCTATTGCTGTAAAAAAAATAAGCTTCCACAAATTTATGTTATGCAGTCCTACAAAAATTAATTGTACAAATAAAATTCTCATTTAACTAGCCTATTGCAGTTTTAGATCAGTTGTATTTTACAGAGTTAATTTAAGAAAATACCATAATTATACATTTCCTTTTAAAGGCAAAAGAACAGATGATATTAAGTGAAAGGAACATGTTAGTACTTAGAAATCTCTGGTAACTTCCTGATTCCTCGTACCACTCTTCATGAGGCTATATCCGGTCCATGAGGCTATATCCGGTCCATGAGGCTATATCCGGTCCTGTATCCTATATTCTTGCTCATCCGGTCCACTGCAACACTAACCCCCATTCCCTCAACACTTAAGTTCCCACTGATTCACCTGTCTCTGGCCCCAGGGTCTATACAGCTACTGGGGACCATGTGAGCTCCAGCGGAATCTCCTGATCCTGACTATAGTAATCTCCAGTGGATTAGAAAGGACAACAACATATCTGAGATTGTGATTACTGGTATCTCCGAAATTCCTGCCTTGGCTCACTGGTCATCATGACTGTCCCTAACCTGTTCTACTGTTGCCCTGTTCTATTATTCTGATCTGTTGTTACAATTAGAAATATGTATCAGTATCTGGTGTCGTTGGTGAATCTCTGACGGGATACACGTATTATATCCATATTATTTCTAACAGGCTGTATCTAAAGCCCTAAAGGTGTTCTCCCTTTCCATAAAGCCTTCATTTTTTCAAGTTCTCTAAAGCCTCCCCTAAAGTTATTATGCTCTACATATTAATAATCAGACGATATACTGTTTCAAGGTGATCTTAATATATAATTGGTCTGTAGTTGTGGAACATCTCACTGTTTCTTAGATTCATCAGCCAAGTGGGGAGTGTTGAAGAGTGGAGGAATTTTTAGAGAAGAGTGAAGCAGACATTACCTTGAACTCCTCCCAGGTGGGGTTGGCGGCGGCCAGGGCCAAGCCACACAGGAACAATATTGCCACCTTCATCTGCGGGGAAAGAAAACTGGGTCAAGTTGACTCATCGGTCAAGTTCACTCATGGGTCAAGTTCACTCATGGACAACAGCATCACTATGTACCGTAACACACAGCATGTTTGTAACCGAAAAATAATTATTGTATATATGCTTATTTTCGAGATTTAAATCAAGTTTTTGTGTCTTTTTTTAATTACAAATTATTGCATGCCAAGTCTTAAGTACATTATATTACGTCTACTTTTTATATATTAAATATTATATATATATATATATATATATATATATATATATATATATATATATATATATATATATATATATATATATATATATATATATTTCATTGAATTGACCGCATATTCTGTATTTATTATTTTATTATATAAAATAATAAATACAGAATATGCGGTCATATTCAATGAAACATGTTTGAAAGAAAACCTGCTGCCAGTATATATATATTATATATATATATATATATATATATATATATATATATATATATATATATATATATATATATATATATATATATATATATATATAAGAAACAGAGACAGAAACAGTGTTTTACCTCGAAGCTGTAGTGCAGACGACGGTTTAGGAGTGTCTTGGTGTAATGCTGAAGGGTATATATATACCTGAGCAGGCGTGGGAGGCGGTACACCTGTTGCAGCTATCATCAGCGGCGTCGTACTGTCACGGTGACTGAGCAGTGACCGGAGTCTCCGGTCGACTCGGGAGCGCTCGGCCAGAGGAAGATTTGAAGTATTTATTATAAAGTTGAGTGAATACCGTAAATAATGATAACTTTAATGACAATAATATTAAAAAATGCATTATTAATCAAATTATTTTGACTTTTTATATTACTGTTCTTATAGCTATTATTATTACAAGCTACTACTAATAAAGAACTCTAATGACAGTATTAATCACGGATACTACCATTTTTACTACCTTTACTATTTATTCTTTGACTGCTACTAAAAATAATAATGATTAAAAATTACTAATATTAGTAATAATTCAAGTACCACTCTAGCGCTACTGTTATTAAAACTACAACTCTTGCTACTAATACTATTACATCTATTACAACTAATAGGAACTATTGGGGGACCAATAGCGCCTGGCAGCTGAGTGGACAGCGCTTCGGATTCGTAGTCCTGAGGTTCCGGGTTCGATCCCCGGTGGAGGCGGAGACAAATGGGCAAAATGTTTCTTTCACCTTGATGCCCCTGTTACTTAGCAGTAAGTAAGTACCTGGGAGTTAGACAGCTGCTACGGGCTGCTTCCTAGGGGTGGAGGCATGGTCGAGGACCGGGCCGAGGGGACACTAATCCCCGAAATCATCTCAAGATTACTATATAACCATTGCAATGTTGAAAGATTGAAGTGTGACAATCTGCACTCGCTTGAGCGACGGAAGGCAAGTTGGGGGGGGGTGAGAATTCTCGTTTTAAAAGTGGTATACTTTTTCAATCTTCCAACAACTGGGAATATTATAAGATAAGGTAAGATAAGATGTTTATTCAAGTAAAGTTACATACATTGAAAATGAGTTACAAACGTAATGTTGGATTTATAGATGGAGCTAGTACATACAATGCCTGAAGCCACTTCCCCCAGTCATCCAACATCGTTGAACACTATACTTACCCCTCAAGCAAACCCCCAATTATCCAATACTATATTTAACAGTCATCCAAAAACTGCGAGTACTGTTCTACCCCCAGTCATCCAACAATTGGGAACACACACACACACACACACACACACACACACACACACACACACACACACACACACACACACACACACACACACACACACACACACACACACACACACACACACACACACACACACACACACACACACACACACACACACACACACACACACACACACACACACACACACACACTCTTTCTAAAGAGTCTGTGTTTGTAAGAAAATTTTACCATAAACATTCTAGATCAGGGACATACAATTTATATAGTCCTTCATGCTTCAGCCTTGATTCACGATGCAAGAAATAAAAAGGTTGTAAACCCCTTCACTGGACGGGTCAGAGGATCGTTCGTGTGTCTCATGCAAGTGTATATAGGCGCATTTACAATAGGCATTATACAATAGCAGTAGGCATCTATCAGTCTCGGGAGACTATCGAGTTCCACTCTGGTTGCCTGAAGTGGCCTCTCCAGGGCGCAAAACCAAGGTAGGTTGATATGGAGAAGCTGTTACACAAGCAGCAGGTCCCCCTCCCCCTCTCCACGGCGCCGAAAGTCCCCAATGGAAAGGCAAAAGTCAATACGATTGGTTCCAGCGCCGTCGCAGGAACTGTCAGAATGAGATTGAAGGCAGCAATAAACTGTCCCTAAGGAGCTCCAGCTCCGGAGTTGACCTCGAGGTTGGTGAAAGAAGGCACAGGGACTCCAAACCCGGAGACCGCCGTGGTCGGGGCCGGAGAACAACCACCCCAGCAAGGGGCAAGACCGACCCCAGCCTCCTGAAGCAGAGCCTGGGGGCCGCACGAGCCCCAGGAGGTGGACGTCCCGGTCCGGCACCTACGGGTTCCTGACAGAGATCGTCACAGCCCTCTGTCACCCGAGGCTGGCTTCCTTCAAGACCCAGCACGAGTAATAACTATTAATTATTATAATTACTAATATAATTATAATAATAATTGTTCTTATTACTTTGCAAACGTAATGACATGATGTCTATTATACAATAGTCATAATGTAGATAGGCATTACCACTAACACTTTTATCACAAGAAAAAATTTGAGAAAAGTTGTAAAACACCTCAAGAGTCAGAGCTGAACTTTTGTATAAATATTTGTAATAAGATATTCCCCATCCTATATCAGGTATTGAAAAGTCGATGAATTAAGGTTCCAAACGGTCTTTATTGTTCAATAACAGCTTTACAGTTACATAATACTACCATTAGTCAGTCGGGGGAAGTTGCAATATGTAGACTGTTGAATAGGAGACATCAGTGGCAAATACAACAGTTGTTGCTCCTGTTGTTGCTGTATCTGTATCCCCGAAGTCGTTCTCCATTTTTGGGAAAATTTCCCATCAGTATGTTGCATCGGAAGTTTCTCCAAGAGGCTAAATCATCACATAAAGCTGTCATTTCTTTCAATCCCTCTAAATCCTTCCCTAAACCGGAGTTATTATGCTCTACGTATTAATTATAAGGCGATATACTGTTTCAAAGTGTTCTTAATACACAAAATTGGTCTGTAGTTGTGGAACAGCTCTCTGTTGACCAGAACACACACTAGAAGGTGAAGGGACGACGACGTTTCGGTCCGTCCTGGACCATTCTCAAGTCGATTGTGGACTCATTCGTCCTGGACTCATTCTCACAATCGACTTGAGAATGGTCCAGGACAGACCGAAACGTCATCGTCATCCCTTCACCTTCTAGTGTGTGGTCTGTTCAACATTAGCCACGTTATTGTGACTCATCGCCTGCATCTCTCTGTTTCTTAGATTCATCAGCCAAGTGGAGTGTTGAAGAGTGGAGTGTTGAAGAGTGGGGTGTTGAAGAGTGGGGTGTTGAAGAGTGGGGTGTTGAAGAGTGGAGTGTTGAAGAGTGGAGTGTTGAAGAGCGGAGTGTTGAAGACTGGAGTGTTGAAGAGTGGGGTGTTGAAGAGTGGAGTGTTGAAGAGTGGAGTGTTGAAGACTGGAGTGTTGAAGAGTGGAGTGTTGAAGAGTGGAGTGTTGAAGAGTGGAGTGTTGAAGAGTGGGGTGTTGAAGAGTGGAGTGTTGAAGAGCGGAGTGTTGAAGACTGGAGTGTTGAAGAGTGGGGTGTTGAAGAGTGGAGTGTTGAAGAGCGGAGTGTTGAAGACTGGAGTGTTGAAGAGTGGGGTGTTGAAGAGTGGAGTGTTGAAGAGCGGAGTGTTGAAGAGTGGAGTGTTGAAGAGTGGGGGTAATTAGAGAAGAGTGAAGCAGATGTTACCTTGAATTCTCCTCTCAGGTGGGGTTGGCGGCGGCCAGGGCCAAGCCACACAGGAACAATATTGCCACCTTCATCTGCGGGAAAGGAAACTGGGTCAAGTTCACTCATCGGTCAAGTTCACTCATGGGTCAAGTTCACTCATGGACTTATGTCTCTATACATTATGACACAAACACATCAAGCTTATAATTGGAAAATAATGATTGAATTTACATTAGTTATACTTATTTTTTGGATCTAAATCAAGATTCTGTATTTTTCAATTACAAATTATTGCATGACCTTTTTTAAAATACATTGAATTTAATGCATTTTCAGAATATATATTGGAGGGTTGGCCACACATCATGTGAGACGGAAACAGTGTTTTTACCTTTTTGAACTGTAGTGCAGATTGTGGTTCAAGCTGTCCTGATGTAATGTTCAAGACTCAATGTACCTGAACAGCCATGGGAGGTGGAACAACTTCTGCTGCTATTTGCTGAGTGCACCAGGATGAAAGGAACGTGTTCAAGATTTTTTCAAGACACAAGGGGGGAGAATTTTAGCTTTGAGAAGAGTATAGGGGGAAGTATTGGTCTGGGTACAGAGTTGTGGAGGAGTAGAGTGATCCACCAGCTAGCATTATTGGGACAGTTTAACTAGCTACATGAATATATTGGATAGGTGTACTCACCTAGTTGAGTACACGTATGGAATATATTCATGTGACCTATTAAACTGTCCCAGTTTGTGGGTGGATCCACTGGTGTGTTACTCAGTGTGGGGGGGGGTTAGGCTTAAAGGAGAACACCATATTTCTCAGTCATCCAGCAACTGGGAACTTACCCAAGTCATCCAACAACTGGGAACTTCCCCAAGTCATCCAACAACTGGGAACTTCCCCAAGTCATCCAACAACTGGGAACTTCCCCAAGTCATCCAACAACTGGGAACTTCCCCAAGTCATCCAACAACTGGGAACTTACCCAAGTCATCCAACAACTGGGAACTTACCCAAGTCATCCAACAACTGGGAACTTCCCCAAGTCATCCAACAACTGGCAACACTATACCTACCCAGTTCACCCAACAGGTGTAACTGTACCACCAAACACTGGTACACTGTACCACTCACCCAAGGTACTCGAACCATCGTACAGTGCCCCCGTGTGACTTACTAACAACCTTGGAACGTTCTGCCTGTCCGAAAAATGTCGGGAATTTTCTGAGTGATTTACCAGCTGTTGATGCCATTTACGTCTCAGAAAGGGGGGCACCTCAACCCCCCCCCCCCCCCCCCCCCACCCCCGTTATCAGTTTGACATTTTTAACCACATATATATTTGTGATATTCGTAATTTGTTTCTCCTTTGGTGTCACGTTAATTAATACGGTTAATGGGGGAATAACAATAGATCAATTATTAACTCGTATCAATAATGGTAATATTATTGTAAGAAAAACTAATAATAATAAAATCTACTAGGGCCATGAGGTAGGCTCGAACCGTTGAACCTAGGCATTGCCAGTCACATACTCCACCACTTTATTTATATATTATAATAACACAAACTGTATTCATTTAAGTAACAATAAGAATTCTGATCATAACAACAATAATAACTATGCCCAGAGAAGTATTTAAAGTTAACATTCTTGATGGTATTAAAAAGTTAATATTCTTGATGGTATTAAAAAGTTAATATTCTTGATGTGTCTCTCTCGAGAGAGACCAGACTGAGACACTGTAGCTTGTCTTAACAGTGTCTCTGATGGTCCCAGGAGTTGTTACTGTATTATTATTGTTGTAGTAGTAGTAGTTGTAGTAGTAGTAGTATAAGTAATAAAACTAATAGTAGAAGTAGAAGAAGTATTAGTAGAGGTAATGGTAGCAGTAGTAGTGGTAACAGTAAATAATATTAATATTACAAGAAGAAGTTGTAGTAATATTGTTATCACTGCAGTTATTATTAATTGTAGAAGTCTGTAATCATAGTTGTTAAAATAGTAGATATATAGGTTGTAACAGGTGGGCCAATAGTAAAAATATTAATAGCAGAATAGTCATTGTAGTAATAATTGTCTAGACTTATCTTCAATATTTACTTCAATATTTACGGAATCCTGTCACATTATACATACAAGTACACATAACAGGTCTCTTGGCCGAGCGCTCCTTGTCACAGGTCACGTGTCACTGTCAGTCACCGTGACAGGAGGGTGTCACTAATGCAGCAGCAGCAGCAGCAGCAGCAGCAGGTGTGGGAACAGCTGCAGCAGGTGTGGGAACAGCTGCAGCAGGTGTGGGAACAGCTGCAGCAGGTATACCGCCACCCTCGGGCATCTCAAGTATATATATACCTTCCAACACCATCCCAAGATACACTTACTCTCAGTCAGCACTACAGCTCTAAGGTAAACAATTGTCTCTGGCTTCCATGATGTATGGCAAACTAACATTTTTGGCTTCAGAAAACTTTTACATCAAAATACATTGTATCAAAGACACGTAATACAAAAAATATTGGTTGTAAACTAAATAATATTTTCCGATTATAAACATGAAGTGTGTATTGATGTATAGAAATGTAGTTGTTCATAAGTGAACTTGACCCATGAGTGAACTTGACCGAGTTTTCTTTCCCGCAGATGAAGGTGGCAATTTTGTTCCTGTGTGGCTTGGCCCTGGCCGCCGCCAACCCCACCTGGGAGGAGTTCAAGGTAATGTCTGCTTCACTCTTCTCTAAAAATAACTCCACTCTTCAACACTCCACTTGGCTGATGAATCTAAGAAACAGTGAGATGTTCCACACATACAGACCATTTTTTATATTAAAAGCACATGAACACAGTGTATCTACTGATTATTAACACGTGATGCACAATAACTCAGGTTTGAGGAAAATTTAGAGAGCTTCATTGAGTTAAAGATATTTGAAGGAACAGTACCCCTTTGGGGAAGCTTCTTCTATAGCCACAAGTTGACTGGAAGATTTTGGATATATACACACCCATATATCCAAAATCGTGTTGACTATAGACTATGACTCTTAACGACCTACCTTAATCAGTGTTTGAATTCCCATCCAATATATATTACTTACTTGGTATGTATGGGCGTGTATGTCTAGCACTCATAGCATTCCCCCCATAGCGTATCTCTGCTATACGGGAGCTGGACAAATGCCATACACACACAGTACCGACACAGATAAAGTTACCTAAGTATACTTTCTGTGCCGTGCGTTGGGTGGCTGTATGCCCCCTACACATACACAGTAAAAACTTAAATTTCTTATTTTGGTGTTATAAGTGTATACTTTCCACAGGCTAAACACAACCGCAAGTTCGTTGACGCCGAGGAGGAGCTCTATCGCCAGAAGGTGTTCGAGGAGAACCTGAAGTATGTCGTAGAGTTTAACGAGAAGTTCGAGAGGGGAGAAGTGACCTTCAACCTGGCGATGAACCAGTTCGGCGACATGGTTGGTTCCTCTTCATCAGTTCACCCTCTAATATCTATCTTTGTCTTCATAAAATGCTTATACAAACTTTGCCCATAATTATTGAGACAATCGGCTGAAGACAACGTCAGTGTCCACAATAAATGTTGCCCACTTTGGTCTGACATTGTCACTGTCTTGCAGACCAACGAGGAGTTCAACGCTGTGATGAAGGGATACAAGAGGGACCCTAAACGCAGCGTCGGTTTGGTCCACAACGACGATGGTCTTCCTCGTGCAGCGACTGTGGACTGGCGCAACCAGGGAGCCGTGACTGGTGTCAAGGACCAGGGACAATGTGGTTCATGCTGGTCTTTCTCTGCGGTAAGTCTACTTTGACTAATTAATAATATATACTGTATCCTCAAAATTATCCAATAAAATGTTTCTGTTAATCTTTAATAACCCAAAAATCCCAAGTAATCCAGACTCTCCGGTTCTCCAGACCGGCTCGTTGGAGGCCCAACACTTCTTCAAGACCGGGAACCTGATTAGTCTGTCCGAGCAGCAGCTGGTCGACTGCTCCACCTCTTATGGTAACTACGGATGTGATGGAGGAAGCATGCAAGCCGCCTTCGACTACATCAGGGACAATGGTGGAGTCGACACTGAGGCATCCTACCCATACGAAGCTGTCGTAAGTACGCCAGTCACAGCTGAACCAATAATTAAAGTTATAGTGTCCCATATACTACTTGTGGACATATAATCATATATATATATAATATAACTTTAGTGTATTCTGTTATACTTTGATCATAAATATATCGTTCAACAAAGCTTCCTTGTCTTCTAGGATGGACGCTGCCGCTTTAATGCGAACAACATCGCTGCAACTGTCACCGGACACGTCAACATTCGGGCCCTGAGCGAGAGCGCCTTGCAGACAGCTGTTGCTGATGTTGGCCCCATCTCTGTGGCCATCGACGCCTCACACCTCTCATTCCAGCTCTACAACTCTGGTGAGAACACACAGCAAACTCTGGCAATCCAGGATGTTACATTGCAGTTTGCAATTGGATGAAAGTGTGTATAACAATTCTATAATGCTCAACATGTCTCTTATTTTGGGAAAAGATTGGTTTATGGTATTGCTATATTCTGCGATTTTCTCAATGCTGGGATTAGTAAGTCTGAATTATCCTGCAAAAGATCAGATGCATGATTGTGTTAGAGATAATTCAACAGGTAAACTTGCTTAACGACACGTTTAAATGGTTTACTTTACATCTCAGGTGTGTACTATGAGTCCAGCTGCTCTCAGCTGGTTCTGGATCACGGTGTGCTGGCTATTGGCTACGGTACTGAGGGCGGAGAGGACTACTGGCTCGTCAAGAACTCTTGGGGCACCGGCTGGGGCATCAGCGGCTACATTAAGATGGCTCGCAACAGGAGCAACAACTGTGGTATTGCCACAGATGCTTGCTACCCAACAGTCTAGATGTGGCAACTTCCCGACTGACTGCCACCTTAAGACAATGTTCAGGTGGTGGTATTATTTTGGAGCTGTAATGCTGTTATTGAACAATAAAGACCGTTCAGAATCTTAATTCATCGACTTTTTAATTCCTGATATAAGATGAGAAATATTTTATTAAAACAAATGTGTGTATATATAAAGTCGTAACATCTCTTACTCTTAAAGTATTACGACTTTTCCACATTTTCAGTGTGATAGAAGTGTTAGTTTCTGTGCCTTGTGCCTGTTTACACTTGCTTGAAAGTCACGCGGACGGTCTGTGTGACACAGTCATTTCTGATAAATTTTGTTCGGAGTAACCCTGAAATATTTCGTAAAATCTCTAGGAAACCCTTTCTTGGCTAACTCATATTAGGTTTTCGTGGAACCCCTACCTGAATGACACATTATCTACCTTGACAATCGGAATGCATTAGGCAGTGATGAGGTGGAGGCTGACTCCATACTCAGTTTCTTGTGTAGATATGATACAGCCCAATAGGCTCAGGAACCTGTACACCTGTTGATTAACAGTTGAGAGGCGGGACCAAAGAGTCAGAGCTCAACCCCCGCAAGCACAATTAGGTGAGTACATTAGGTTCGACAGGACACATTTCAAAACAAATTGTCCAACATTTCTGGACCAGTGCTTCGCTGACAACCTCTGTTCGAATCACAACTCTGTAAATGCTTCACCCACGTACTTCAAATAATTGCCAACAAAACCTAAACACGAAATTTAACCTAACCTGTGCCTAACTATATTCAGAACTTGAATTCATAATCGTATTCATTTATATTTGACAACAAACCTATTTTTAATACACAATACATTCAAATGAATGCGTCTTGAGAAAAAACAGCCGCTTTAACGAGCCTATCCTAATAAGAGGTTGTTGGTTGGCAATCACTGCTGTTCTGGGATGGTATACACTATGACTATGGGATGATTACACCTCACTCACGTGTAATTCTGTCTGGCTCTCTGTAATGCGGCTCTGTTTCCCTCTGATCCTAGCTCTCTCTCTCTACTTTTGCCCGGCTCTTTTCTTTCCTCTCCTGTGCTGCTCTCCACTGACGGGCGGGACCAAAGAGCCAAAGCTCAACCCCCGCAAGCACAATTAGGTGAGTACTCTTAAACCAAGAAGTTACTTCTTCTTGAGTGGGATGTACAGCTCCGTGGCATCTGTAGTTGGCCTAGGGTGATATTTGACAAGCCGTAGGTTACCTGTCCCCGTCGAGGACACTATAGAGATGGTGGCCCTAGGGTAAATTTGGATATTTAAGCTAATTAGGCGGTCTCTTTCCCAACATTGAAAAACTAAATAGTTTGTCATATATAAAATACATTTTCTATGATTGCTTCTCGCCGAAGAAAATATAGAAAACGGTAATAGTTAGGTAAACGTAAGTAAAATATATTTTCGTTATTAACAACTCATTTTTTGTAGAAGAAGCTTAGTGGACTTATAGTCACCTAAAGACTAGCAAGATATGGGAGAATATATAATTGTTGGTGACAGCAAGCCACTTAAAACCCATTTATATAGGCGCATATATCCATCCGGAGCCGGTCGGCCGAGCGGACAGCACGCTGGACTTGTGATCCTATGGTCCTGGGTTCAATCCCAGGCGCCGGCGAGAAACAATTGGCAGAGTTTCTTTCACCCTATGCCCCTGTTACCTAGCGGTAAAATAGGTACCTGGGTGTTAGCTGTCACGGGCTGCTTCCTGGGGGGTGGAGGCCTGGTCGAGGACCGGGCCGCGGGGACACTAAAAGCCCCGAAATCATCTCAAGATAAGATCCATACGGCTCCAGATTTCATCCACCAACCTATGCCCGCCAAAAGCTAGGAGAACCTATTGCTATAATGCGTAGAATGTACAGAATATCGACTGTTTTACCTCCCCCAAAAAAGTTCCCGTTTTCTACTATTGAAATTCTAAAGGGCGAACCATTGAAAAAAATGACCATAAAAATAATAACCCGTTACTGGACTTGTAGAAGTGTCAACTTACATCTATTCATGTATCGCCGTCCTTTTCAAAGATGAGAACTGTAATGTGTTGGTAATTAACAGTAATATTAGGTGGGATTGCGTGAACAAAGAGGATGCTCTCAGACCTAATCAAATTAGGTTCGTATAGGCACTGAGATAAAAAGAATTATGATTCACCCAGACATATACAAACATTTACAAAGTTACGTAGTTACATAGTTTACATTGTGGAAAATATTAGATGGGCTGGTCCCAAACCTGCACACAGAAGTAACACCACATGAGACCAGAAGTCATGGCAGAATGTGCAGAATACCCCCGTTGAAGAGCAGAGGAGCAACAGGTACTCTGAGAGAGAACTCTATCAACATCAGAGGCCCGAGACTGTTCAACACGCTTCCACTACACATAAGGGACATAACTGGCCGACCCCTCACAGTGTTCAAGAGAGAACTATCAACATCAGAGGCCCGAGACTGTTCAACACGCTTCCACTACACATAAGGGACATAACTGGCCGACCCCTCACAGTGTTCAAGAGAGAACTATCAACATCAGAGGCCCGAGACTGTTCAACACGCTTCCACTACACATAAGGGGCATAACTGGCCGACCCCTCACAGTGTTCAAGAGAGAACTTGACAAACACCTCCAAAGGATACCTGATCAACCAGGCTGTGACTCATACATCAGGCTGCGAGCAGCTGCGTCAAACAACCTGGTTGACCAGTCCAGCAAAAAGGAGACCTGGTCGAGGACCGGACCGCGCAGACGTTGAGCCCTGAAATCATCGCAAGGTAAGGTAGTTAATGCAAAATGCATCTGGATCTTTATAACAGTCCACGAAGAAGAGTTTCAGTAATTGTCAATCTCATCAAATTAAATAATAGACTAACAGCTAGTATAACTTAAGGACTCGAGAAAATCTTAAATTAAATAATCAAATGACCATAAGTGAAAATGGATGTCTAATAACAGTGAATACTGTAATTAAGCACGAAAAAATAGTTTCTGGTAAACCTTGAAAGGGATAACGAGCCGCGGAGATACTCAGCCACTCTCGTAATCACATGAACCTTGTGAACATAGCGAGCAAACACCTCGAGGCGATGTCCACTTATTGTTAAACCAAGATTTAGCCAATACAGTAGCCTCGATCGTCAGTTGAATTATCAAAACCAATAAAGCTATATCTTCTCTCCCAGACAAAGCCACTGGAGTATTGAGGAACCTTATATATAAAGCTTGAGGGACATTTAAGGCTAAGAATACTACAGGTTTCTGTTCCACTCTTGGAAAAATATTAAGTAGAATAGTTAGAGGAATTAGAGTTTGTTGATAGGTCGATACAGCATCAGTCTCACACACTTGGGGTCCACAATTCGAATCTCCAAGAGCCCAGGTGAGAGTAGTAGATATATATATATATATATATATATATATATATATATATATATATATATATATATATATATATATATATATATATATATAGTTATATAGTTATATAAATATATATAGTAGAGATACTAGACCAACAAACTATATATATCTAAGTAGAGCTATATATAATTCCTTGTCCTAGCAGTGTTTCTGTCATTTGTCCTGAGCACTGATCAGTACGAAGCAGTTCCAATTTATATCCACCCAAATATAATGTGTAACCTACGCCTGAAACAACTCAAGCCGACCCCACATCAATTATGTTACCCGGTAATTTGCTCCATAAATAAACCACCATTATTTCCAAATCAGCATTTACCCATTTCTTGAATTTAAAATTAGTCAATTTATATCCATTAATTCGTTATGTATAATGTTATGCTACAATGATAACGAAATAACTTATCATTATACTAAATATTTCATTACATTGAGAAATAACGTGAAAATTGCGTTATTTAACTCAAATTGCGTCATTATTTTAATTGCGTTTTTTTATTGCGTTAACGCGACGTTCTACCTTAAAATTGCGTTGAAGAAAAGATTCAGACCCCACAAAAGATTCAGACCCCCACAAAAGATTCAGACCCCCACAAAAGATTCAGACCCCCACAAAAGATTCAGACCCCCCACAAAAGATACAGACCCCCACAAAAGATTCAGACCCCCCACAAAAGATTCAGACCCCCACAAAAGATTCAGACCCCCACAAAAGATTCAGACCCCACAAAAGATTCAGACCCCACAAAAGATTCAGACCCTCACAAAAGATTCAGACCCCCACAAAAGATTCAGACCCACAAAAGATTCAGACCCCACAAAAGATTCAGACCCCACAAAAGATTCAGACCCTCACAAAAGATTCAGACCCCCACAAAAGATTCAGACCCCCACAAAAGATTCAGACCCCCCACAAAAGATTCAGACCCCCACAAAAGATTCAGACCCCACAAAAGATTCAGACCCCACAAAAGATTCAGACCCTCACAAAAGATTCAGACCCCCACAAAAGATTCAGACCCCCACAAAAGATTCAGACCCCCACAAAAGATTCAGACCCCACAAAAGATTCAGACCCCACAAAAGATTCAGACCCCACAAAAGATTCAGACCCCACAAAAGATTCAGACCCCACAAAAAATTCAGACCCCCACAAAAGATTCAGACCCCACAAAAGATTTAGACCCCCACAAAAGATTCAGACCCCCACAAAAGATTCAGACCCCACAAAAGATTCAGACCCCCACAAAAGATTCAGACCCCACAAAAGATTCAGACCCCACAAAAGATTCAGACCCCCACAAAAGATTCAGACCCCACAAAAGATTCAGACCCCCACAAAAGATTCAGACCCCCACAAAAGATTCAGACCCCACAAAAAATTCAGACCCCCACAAAAGATTCAGACCCCCACAAAAGATTTAGACCCCCACAAAAGATTCAGACCCTCACAAAAGATTCAGACCCCACAAAAGATTTAGACCCCCACAAAAGATTCAGACCCTCACAAAAGATTCAGACCCCCACAAAAGATTCAGACCCCACAAAAGATTCAGACCCTCACAAAAGATTCAGACCCCCACAAAAGATTCAGACCCCACAAAAGATTCAGACCCTCACAAAAGATTCAGACCCCCACAAAAGATTC